TTCTGTAGACATCAACTAGGTCCATTTGATCTATTGCATATTTTAGATCTTGGATTTCTTTATTGATTTTTTGTTTGGATGACCTATCTATTGATGATAATGGGGTGTTAAAGTCTCCCACAACCACTGTGTTGGCGTTATATATGCTTTTAGGTTTTCAGGGTATGTTTGATGAAATTGGGGTGTTGACATTGGGTGCATACAGGTTGATGATTATTATTTCCTTTTGGTCTATTTCCCCTTTTATTAGTATGGAATGTCCTTCTTTATCTCGTTTGATCAATGTAGGTTTGAAGTCTACTTTGTCAGAGATAAGTATTGCTACTCCTGCTGTTTTTGGGGGCCATTGGCTTGGTAAATCTTCTTCCAGCCTTTCATCCTAAGCCTATGCTTATTTCTGTTGGTGAGATGGGTCTCCTGTAAGCAACAAATTGTTGGATCTTCCTTTTTAATCCATTTGTCAAGCGGTGCTTTTGATGGGTGAATTAAGTCCATTAACATTAAGTTAGTACTGATAGGTATGCATTTAGTTGTCTTAGTTGTTTGAAGGTTTGATTGTGTGTACCTAAGTTGAGGTTACTCTCTACTGTCTTGCTTTTTCTTTTCCTGTGGTTTGGTGCTGCCTGTCTTTTCATGGTTAAGTTGGGTTTCACTTTCTGTGTGCAGAATCCCTTGCAGAATCTTTTGTAGTGGTGGCTTTGTGGTCACATATTGTTTTAGTTTCTGCTTATCATGGAAGACTTTTATTGCTCCATCTATTTTGAATGATAGTTTTGCTGGGTAGAGTATCCTGGGGTTGAAGTTATTTTCATTCAGTGCCTGGAAGATCTCACCCCACGCTCTTCTTGCTTTTAATGTTTCTGTTGAGAAGTCTGCTGTGATTTTGATGGGTTTACCTTTGTATGTTACTTGTTTTTTCTCTCTTACAGCCTTCAATATTCTTTCCTTAGTTTCTGAACTTGTTGTTTTAATGATAATATGCCATGGGTAGATCTAGTTTGGTCTGGTCTATTTGGTGTCCTGGAGGCCTCTTGCATCTATATGGGAATATCTTTCTCTAGATTTGGGAAATTTTCTGTTATTATTTTGTTGAATATACTATGCATTCCCTTTGCTTGCACCTCTTCTCCTTCTTCAATGCCCATGATTCTCGAGTTTGATTTTTTGATGGAGTCAGTGAGTTCTTGCATTTTCTTTTCACAGGTCTTGAGTTGTTTAATTAATAGTTCTTCAGTTTTTCCTTTAATTACCATTTCATCTTCAAGTTCTGAGATTCTGTCTTCTGTTTGTTCTATTCTGCTGGATTGGCCTTCTGTTTTGTTTTGCAGTTCTGTTTCGTTCTTTTTTCTGAGGTTTTCCATATCCTGGGTGGTTTCCTCTTTAATGTTGTCTATTTTTGTCCTGAGTTCATTTATCCGTTTATTCATTGTGTTCTCTCTTTCACTTTGGTGTTTATACAGTGCTTCTATGGTTTCCTTTATTTCTTCTTTTGCTTTTTCAAATTCTCTATTTTTGTTGTCTTGGAATTTCTTGAGTGTCTCCTGTACATTTTGGTTGACCCTATCCAGTATCATCTCTATAAAATTCTCATTGAGTACTTGTAGTATGTCTTCTTTTAAACTATTCTTGTGGGCTTCATTTGGTCCTTTGGCACAGTTTATCTTCATTTTGTTGGATTCTGGATCTGAGTTTCTGTTTCTGGTTCCTGTACTAATTTTTTGCTGTGGGGAAACTGGTTTCCCTGTTTTTTCTGTCTTCCCGTCATTGTCTTTGGTGTTGTTACTGTCCCTGTACAGTGTGCAATTAAGTATTTTCTAGCTTGTAATAATAACAATGGTAATATTTAGAATGGAAGAGTGAGCTGAGATGGAAAGCAAGAAGTTAAAGAAAAGGGGAAACCAAATATACAGACAAGAGGAAGAAAGCAGAACAAGGTTTCAGACAAGAAAGTTTCAAAGGCGTAAACAGGGAGCATTAGTAAGCTGAACAGACATTACAGAGACAGAGAGGATTGAAAATCAAAAATTAAAAAAAAATAGATAAGAATAAAAATAAAAAATAAGTAACTGAAAGAAGTATCTATATATAAAAATGAATTATAATAAAATGGAAAATAGTAAATTAAGAAAAAAAAAATCAAAAAACCTCCAAGTTCAAATGCAATGAAGTTTCAGTCTTAATAATTTGGGTGTCCATCTCTGTCTCCAATCCTGGAGATGGTGCCTTAGATGTTGTTCTGTAGTTGTCTCATCAAAGGGGATGCATAAAGTAGAACAAAACTCCACACACACACACACACACACACACACACACAAACCCACCAAGTGTCCCAAGTTCAAATGCAATACAGTTTCAGTAAGTTTTTCCACTTGCAGGTGTAATTCGGTTGTTCTCTCATCAAAGGTAGGGATAAAAAGAAAAAAAAAGAGTCTGGAGACAGTTCTGAGAATGGTATCTGCAGCTTGGCTTGCCTGCCTGCTGCTGTCAGCCTGCTGTTGCTGGAGGTGGTATTTATGCAGATCTCTGGGGTGAGCTTAGCACTCACGTGGCCCCACAGGCTTTGTTTTTTCAGAGTTCTCCTGTGTGGGAGCCTCTGCTACAAGCTTTCCCCTTTCCATGCACTGGGAAAGGTGACACTGAACCCGTGTTGTCAGGCCTGTGTATTTATGTACAATTCATGTGGGAGGTGGGTCTTCCTCCCTCTCCTGTTGGAGTTTTCCTCCCACCACCACTTTCACAAGCTTTCCTGCTCCTGATTACTGGGTGGTGCTGCAGCTCTTGCCAGCCGCCATGTTTGTTTACAGTTCACGTGGGAAGTGGGTCTTCCCTCCTCTCCTGTGGAGTTTTTCTCCCTCTGCCACTCTCACCAGCTTTCCTACTCCTGGTTGCTGGGCGTGCGCCCTGGCCCCACTCCTGCCAGAGCCTCTCTGGCCTGCCCAGCTTGTTTATTTACAGTCCCGGAATGGATTCCCTTCCCCCAATCTTCGGCGCTTAGTGCGCTCCACCCTCTTTCCTGGGTGTCTTATTTGTTCTTATTGCTTATTACTCAGTTTCTCTTTTTTCCCCGGGTGGAGGTCAGTCTGTCCAGGGGGCTATGCTGCTCTGGCCCAGGCTTGTCTATGGGAGTACCGCGTACCACAAAGCTCACCTGGTCTGCGTCTTCCCAAGCCGTCTGGACGCCAGCGGCTGGCGGCCCAGGAGCCCTCCTGGTTTCTCCGTTAATGTGAAGTGGAGATTCTCTGTGCTGGCTGGAGGTGTGTAGGGGTCAAAGTTATGCCTCTTCTCAGTGATTATGCCTGCAAAGTGTGTCTCCAGTGTTTCTCCAAGATTTCACTATAGGAGGCTCGCTTTCTGTTTCCTCCCTCTAGCTGCCACCTTGGAATCCAAAATCTTAGCTTGTCTTTTCTGTCTTTTTAAAATAGCTTGATTAAATAGTCTATATATGTTCCTTAATAACTTCCCACCAGATATAATTAGCTCACCCCACAAAATTAAGCTGTATTTGGAACCATGTAATTAAAAATTTCTTTTAAATTCCATTCTGAATACTTTCTTATTCATAAGGTTTTTCAACATTTGTTAAATTTCCTAGTTACATGTTTATTATCTTTCTGAATTTAATTTTGTTGTGGATTTCATCCTTTGAAATTTGTTGAGTCTTTTATGATCTGCTATTAGATATTTTATAAATGTTTAGAGTGTACTTGAAATAAATTCCTATTCTCCAGTATGTTTTATGAAGATAAATTTAGTCTAGTTCATTAATCATGTTGTTCAATTGGTCAGTAGCCTAATTTTCTCTTTTGGTTTGTGTGGTAGTTTTCACTATGTCAATTTAGTGAAGCTGGAGTGTATTTCCTTATATTATGTCACATTTCATTTGTCAAAAAAGGCAGATAGAAGCAAAAAAGGCCATTTTCTGCAGGTCTTTGAAGATTAACATAGTAAAGATCAGGCAAAAAGTGTCAGTGGGGCCTAGCTTGCTCTTACTCTTTTCTACTCAATATCCCACTCTTCTGACCAGCATTGAATTTAAAGTCCATGAGTAAACTTGTCTACCAGTTCACAGAAGCAATAACAAGACATAACACCTCTCCATAGACTTTTTCATGAGCTCTCTTTCCATGTCTCACTTCAACACCTGGATGTCCCTTCAATTTGTCTACTCACCGTAGTGTTTGAGGAGAGCTGAATGCCATCTTTTGTCTGACTCCCCTATCTTCTTTCCAAAGCATTCCCCAACTCCCCAGTCTTTCACAATTTCAAAAGCCCTGTTTCCTATAACATCATTTTTTCCCATAATACAGCAATTTTGCTTGCTGATTAAATCTTATGAGAGTCTGTTCCTCTATAAAATACACACAATGTGATGTAATCACCTATGTTTCTCAAAAGTCTTTGAATATATTGGTAAAGGAAATTCATTAATTCTAATCTTTTTTTTTAATTAGCTCTTCCAGCACTTCTATATATCATAGGATTAGAGCAAGTCTGTACATTTTGATTCCCTGACTCTACATGCCTTGACATAGTACCATAATGGTTTAGGATGATAATGTTTGAGACTCATTGTAAAAATGCTTTAGGCTAGGGAATTTGCCAGTTATAAAATTCTCATCAGTCTTATCTCCAAAAATTAAATCTAGAGATTTTTAAAAGCTAATCTCCCAGAGACTCTGTTTCTAGAGATCTGTGATAGGACCCCCATAGGTGCACGCTATAGGTGTGTGCGGGCATTTATAGCAAAAAAGTGACTGGGGACTTCTTTCGGGGAAAGATGGCTAGGAAAAAAGACCCGGAACTATTTGAATTTTTTCTTCCTGGGGCTTTCTGTTCACCATTATTATATTCCAAAGTACAAAAAATAGAGGTTAAAACATACAAAAGCTTTGCTTTTCCAATGTCTCTAGATCACCCAGCTTCATTAAAGGAACTGTGTTTATACTTGTGTCAAACATGCAATTTCCTAGCTAATCACGTAGTGCATGTGTATTTGAGCCCCTACAAAGCAACGAAAATGACTTAAACTTCTTAAGACCACTCAAACTCAGAAAAATTACATCAGCATTTTACTTTTATTGAGTTTATGTTAAAATGTGGTTTAAAATTAAGTATTACTTTATTCACTGAGTGGATTTGAATCTTTTGAGGTTTACGTACACGTAACTTAAGACAACTTTCCCTGTGTGACTGTGTATTCCCTTCCTGAAAAGTGAAATAAAAAAAATAATAAAAGGAACAGTAATTTCCTGGGTTAATCCCAGGGCACACAATCTGACACACAGGAGAGATATATGCAGCTGCACATTTTGGAGGAATGGAAGGAGATTTCTCAAACAAATTAAAACACAATATTAATGGGTATACTTCATAACATCTTCATAAAATTTTACATACTACTGAAATAACTAGCATTACACAAAAATTTGAAGAGTAGAAAATTTGTCTAGAAATAAGGATAACATGATACCTATAATGATTCCTTGAGTCAGACTTCTAAGCCTGCCCAATGCTACTTCTTGCAATACTATTTTCCTTAATAGCACTCTTCAATTATATAACTATTACCAATTTAAAAATAGATATGAGAGGTTCTTTAAAAACAACCAATTTCCTTATTAAATGAATAGTACAAGTTCCTCACCCTTAAGTGGAGTCAATCAACAGAAATCCATGGCTACTCATAGTATCCAAAAATACAAAATCACTGTGGAATCGAAGATTTATTTTTGACACATACTAGTTGTCAACTTAAAGTTTTTCTTTTCTCTCATGCTTACTAGATGACATTGGGAAGAGAAGTACATACCCCCCAACCCCCATTCAGCTGTACTGTGTTTCTGTCTCCCAAAGAAACCCACCACAAGATACAAAGAAAAGTGTTTTTCTCATTTGCTTCTTTTTCCTCTTCCACCTCTTCTTTTGATAACCCACTTAATGTCTTGGTTAAAAGAAGAACATTAAATCCAAGAGTCATGAGATGTAGTAAAGTTAATACAGCATTTCACTTAATTAGGATATTCCCTCTAAAATAAATGTTTTGAAAGACTGTGCTTCCTTTGTGCAAAGAAAAATCAATGAGGCAAGGATCTGAGAGGACATTTTGAAAAGAGTTATGTGCATTTTGGATTTGTCACTTAAAATTTTATTTCATACAAGATCTCAAATGTTTCCCAGATGATTACTGAAAGACAATAGCTCTGAGTTTTACTGGAAAGTCAAAATAATTGCCATGCTAGTAACTACCAAATTATATTTGTTGGTCAGGTGATCTCAACTCAGCCCTTCCTTAGTAATCAATGGGTTTAAGTAGATGAGACAAATCTATTTAAATAAATTTGGCTCCTGATTCTGGTTAGCAAACTTTTAGAAAAGTGATACCAGTATTTCATTGTAAAATTTATGAAGCAAGGAGAAACTCCTCAGTAGGAAATTGCAAGGTTAATCCAACGTATTTGTCAATGACATTTTAAAGGGAAAATGTCAATCAATTCTAAGAATTATTTACTTATCTTAAAAACAATTTCCTCTTTTGCTAGTTTCTCCATATCCTCCAGAATCACAGCACTTGAGTTGCTTTGATTTAAAACTGTACTGTACAGGTAACATTGTGAGTTAAATTTGTTTTTATCTTATAATCTACCTCTATATTTTTAACCCAGAAAAACTAAAGTGTATATCCAAGAAACCAAATTACATACTCTTATTTTTATTATGAGCACCCAGAAAGGAAGCAATGAGCTCTGCACATGTACAATATTATAATAATACAGTGTGATTTGACAAGCCAATAATACTTCATGTGTGGCTTATTTCGTGGTAACTCTGACTGGTTTCTTAAGCAAGAAATATATCTCCTCCATATGTGAAATCATCATTCAATTATGAGATTTTTTACAACTTATTCAAAAATGTTCATAAATCTATCCAGTGAATGACAAATCAGTATTGCCAATACTGGGATAACTGCCTCATATTTCTAAAAGTCCATAATCCCTATCTCTAAATGCCTAATACAGATCAGTAGTTCATGCTATCTGTCATAAATTTAATACTGGCAATGACATAAAAATTTGGTAGCATAAATATGGAAATACTACTTAAAAAATCTTCTGATCAAATTTCTTTGTATGTGTGTGATGATAAAAATACACTATGACTTTGGAACTGAATTGTAATTGGAAAATAAAGATTTAAATACTATATAATTGGGTGTATCACTCTAATGAGCAAAGCAAGAAATATTGTTCATGTATATAGTCCTAAATTTAAGAGTAATAATTCAACAAACATATTTTTTCACTAAACTGTCAAGTCCATCACCTTATTCTTATCTGGTAGAATATCATTTGGTGTTAAACTTTGGTTGTTATACTGGCAGTTTCTCTAAGATAAGCTTACATTTGAAATATCACATCATGCCAAATTCCCAGCCAAAGAAATTATTTCTCATGTGTCAAAGGTATAGGAACAAGGCACTGAACATTGTATAAAGTGATGCATGAATATGAAGATTGTAAACTTATTTAAAGACTTGAAGTTTCATTAAAACAAAGCTATTGCATTTCACAAACAATTTGTACCGAACTTATACAAACAGCAAGTGCTCAAAAAGGCTTCATGATGCAAAGTAGGCATTCTAAAAGAAAAGTGATTTTTAAAAATTCAACAATTTTATAGATTGAAGTGAATAAATTAATCTTATGCATTGTCTTACATTCTGTAACTACTAAGAAAGTACATTTACTTCTGTATAACAACTTTCATGTACTTGAAGACCTGACACTTATCTAATACCTTCCTAATGCTGTATTCTGTACAAGGCAATGCACAGTTTTGAAACTACTATTACCAAAATGTTATCTTTAACAACTTTGTTGTTAGTCTTATATTGAAACTCATTTAGTCTCTTGAGAAAAACTGAATTCTGCATTTACTTGGGAGGACTATCTTGGATTCTGATGGAAGTTTATCTTACACCATGCAATTTCTGGAACAAACTCCTGCTACAATATTTAGCCAATATTCTTTAGTATATGATTTTCCTTATGTCATTTGATTTTGACTTTCCATTTGTACATTTTTAAGATGGAAGCATTTATATGACTCAGTAGGCCTTTTTGCTCCCTTTCTTTCAGTAACACTTTTCTTGATGGGAAGTATATATAAATAACCTGACAGAAGACCATAAAAATGTACAGATGCACTGTACAGAAAGTGAAGGGAGAGTCCAAGGCCAGGGTTCCATTCTAAGCTACAACTCCATGATTTCCCACGTTCTGATTCCACATGCACTTTCAACAGTCATTTACAGGACCCCAGAAAGCAATACCTGCAGAGGGCCCAGTGGATAATGTACACAAGTGGTACTCTTCCAACATCACAAAACTGGACTCTATAAAAGTGTTTAGAAACTTTGAATTAAGAAAAAGAAAGGGTAAAACTGATACATGGCTTCTGGCCTATATAGCCCTAAACCCAGAGAAAAGAGTGGAGAAGGCTGACAACAGCTGCTTGCTTGTTATGCTGATTAGATCGTTGATTTAGCCAGATTTACTTTGTTTTCTTCAATCATGACATGCTTAGCAAATTCATCAGGATTAAGTCCCAGGTTTTCTTTTAATTTCTTGAGCTCAAAGTCATGGAGAATCTTGACAGTCATTAACTTTTCTCGTTTGATTCTCTCCACAACGTCTTTTGGTACATCAGGTATCATCCAGGCCAACAAAAATTTAACTAAAAACACAATGTGCTAGAGGAAATAAGTATAAAGGAAAGTCAGAGACACTGTTAGAATTGCCAAAAGTTTAGCAAGAAGTCCTTGCATATCATTACACTCATTTGATAAACTGTGCTTGACACAGGATGCACAAAAGCAACCAAAAAGATATATACCCCCTGACCTACAATTTCGTACACAAACAAGCATTAAAAATATGTAATTAAAATGTAATTACAGGAATTCTGAAAGAACATCGTTATTGCGTACAGTCTTTATCTCTGCTCCCTCCTGAAAACCTAATAATTTATTTGTAAAGGAATTGATAGTAGAAACCAAAAAGACAAAAGCAATATTTATACCAGCAAACTGTGAACACAGGAACATCAGCAATAGCCTAGGATGGGTGTGTGGCACATATGGAAAACAAAAGTGTACACAAAGTGAAACTCAGCATGATGAATTATATCTATAGGTCACTTGCCTTGCTAAGCTTTCAGAACATGTAATTCTCAATAGACAAGAATTTTTCCCTCAGTAAAATAACCCAGTTGTAAAATTAGAACTACAGACAGCCAAATGAAAAGGTTGGCTCACTACTTAGGCACAAAAAGTTTATGGTCAGCTTTTCATTGATTCAATTCCATGTATGAGTAAAACTACCAACTATGTAATAAAGTAACATGAAAGAATAAAAACACATGAATAGGAGCTAAGAGGAAGGAGAGACAATGAAAGGAACAAAAGAATAGTAGAATGAAAAACAAAGATATGAATCCATCTCTATCAGTGAAAAAATAAATGATAATTAGGATTTCAAAACAGGGAATAAATTAGCTGAGTAACAGAAGTCAGAGCAGAGACACAGAATAAATAAAGGAAACATTTATCAAAGAAATAATCCAAGCATATTTTCTCAACTTGAAAGGTTGAGCTCTAAGGGGCTCATCAGAATGATTATTATGTTCAACAGCAAGGAATCTTCTTGTGAAATATGATAGTGAGGCTACTGAGAAAATCCTCAGTCTTACTGATCTTAAAAGAAGATCATAAACGAAGACTGAGGAATTAGAGTGATACTGCATGATTTGACAATACTGGAAGCTGAAAAAAATGGAGCAATGTCTTAAAATTTTTCAGAATATCCGGCTGGAGGTATGGCTCAAGCAGTAGAGCACCTGCCTAGTAGGTGCAAAATCAAGAATACCTAAATAAAGTTTATTGAAAATATTTAATGAAAACAGCTTTCAATCTTGAATTCTATAAGAAATAAGCACATGTAAGGAAATTTTTTTTTCAGTATTCAAGATCTCAAAAAAAACTGCCCATAAGTTTTCCTCAGAAAATTACTAAAAGACGTGCTTTAGCAGAATTAGCTAGCAAATTGAGAAATGATTTCTGATGTTATTTACTTGGCCGAAAAGTGATCTAAGCTTTTGATGAAAAAATGTGGGAATAAAAGTGGTAAGAAGAAAAACAAAACTATAAGGGAAATATATTCAGAGTATAATGTATGAAGGAAATGTTACTAATATTTTTGAAGCTATAATTTATAAACCTTTAATACTGACCACCAACTGCAATCTCTCATTCAAAACTCTGATGAATAGAAATAGTTCAGAGTTGAGAATGATTAAATATTAAAATACCAGTTGGACATAAACCATGGATCAGCAATGCTCAAGGTGGCACCTAAGTATTTCTATAGCAAAATAAATGAGTAAAACTTAAAGAGAACAAATTAAGGCCATCATCAGGCATAGATGCTTTAAAAGTTACCAAAATGTCTTTTTGAGATTTTGGATTTCAGAATAAGAAATTATGGAACTCTATAATAAAAATATGCTATAACTCTATTGAGAAGTAAGAGAAAGAACATTTTTCTGTTATATGCATTGCTTGCATGTGGTGGGTCATAATAGGAAGTTGATAATATCTATAACCAAAACATAAAAAAGCTGCATGGGAATGCTGCTTTTCCAGGGAAAAACCATAAGAAAAATGTGCTTAAAAGTTGAAATGTTTGCCTTTGGAGATTAGGAACTGATGATGGGGAGAAATATATAAGACTGATCTCCTTTTTAGCCACTTAATAATAACTTGGATAATAAGCCACGTAATAACTTGGATAATAATAAAAATAAATTCAATAGGACTGATTTTGTGCTTATGTTAGAATTATCTGTTATTGGACTTTCCTGCACAAAGAGAAATGTGCCTGACATTTATTTGTTTCTCTTTTATTGGCCTTCCTGTTTTATGATTTGTAGTAATCCATCTGTAATTTAGACTAATGCCTCCTCTGTGTGCCTTGTCTTCATACTTAATGTTCCACAGGAGATGAGGTTCAGTGTAGTAGACACACATTAGCTTGGGAGTAAGACATATCTAGCATTAAAACTTTGCTCTAATATTAACTGGTTAACCTTAAGCCAACTACTTCTTAAAATGAATATCAGATAATTTGCCAAAGATTTTAAATTTAATATACAAGATTGTTATGACTTAAGATGGACTCTGGAACCAAGATGTAACAAGAATTCTTTAAAAATTAGTGGGTTCTCTTCCATTTTCCTGAACTCAAAGAGAGAGGCCAAATTTTTCTTTTTCCTTTTTGGTATTTTTAATTATAGTAAATGAATGAAAGATACTCATTTCACTGAAAATATTCCTAAACTGCCTTTTATGACAACAATTAATTCCTTCAAAACAGCTCAGTGAGACAATGCTAACTTTCTTTTTTTCTGTTTCCTCATTTTCCTCATTTATTGGTGTCAATAAATTGCCTATACTTATATTATCAACAGCAATTAATAACAAATAAATTTGGGGAGTTATGATAAGGATTATCCTTTGCACATACATGTATTTGTATATATACATACTTATATGTACAAACATATATTATGTTTATATATGTGTGTGTGTGTGTGTAGATGTTATCTTTTTGATGAGCAGGCACCTTTAGAAATACCTGCTTTAACGCTGAAGAGAGCAACTGCAATAACAGTTAAAAATGCTTACTTCCATAACTATGATGAAGGTCATCTTGGCAGCAAGGACATGCCAGAATTGCATATTATGAGCATATTTATACTCATGATCAGGAGGGTTCCTATAATCTCTGTACCTGAAAAATGGAAATCAATGCAAAAAATTAATTATAGCTTCAACTCTCATTATTTCTCTTAAGAGACCCTTTCACTGACCAGAAAATCAGATCATAGGAAGATAATTGATAATATAAACTATCTTCTTGTTCACATAAAATCTCAGCCATATGCTACTTATATGCAGTTTATCATTAATATGAAACATACTAGTGAAACATCTCTTGTCCTTCAAGGACAAACTTATCAAATGAGTTACCAAACTTTGTCATCACCATTTCCTCTCTTCCTTCTCAGCACACTTAGTTCTATCCCTCTCTCTGTCAAAATCAATTGTTTTCTGTTATTAAATTGAAAGACTATCTTAATCTTATCTGATTTTCTAGGAATAGAATTGATATTGCTGACATTTCTATTTTCTTGAAACTCTTATTTTCTCTAGGATGTGCTGACCATGCGTTTTCCCCTTTTTCTTATTACCTCTCTGAACTTTCTGGGTTCTCTACTTTGTGAGCTCATTCTCTACTATAAAGTCACTAGATACTGATGCTCTTCAAAGACTTAATTTGGCTAGAAAGTCATGAAATCAAGAAATGTGACAGCAGTACTAATGCTCTTAAACTTTATGCTATGAGTCCTCTACATCCAAATATGGAAAATAACAATGCTTCTGCCTGTCTTGCAACATTTTCTCATTCTTTGTGTAGTCCCAAAGAAAGCAGTTGATTTAAGGTTTAAATTAAGGTTAAGGGACCTTGGTCTGTCTGTCTATCTGTCTATCTATCTATCTATCTATCATCTATCTACCTAACTCCCTGCCTACCTATTCCCTTTAAATTCTATAGTATAAAGGTCCTCACAGTACATGATACACTGAATGTGGAAAGAGCAATTCACACTTCCTACTTCACAGTGAACTCTCTTCACAATCCTTTAAACGGGATGGCATATTGTTATTTCTCTCTTTCTTGTTCTATCTCTTTTCTGAGAATACACAGTTAACTTCAAGCACAGGTAATATAATCATGCTGCATTATGGATAGACATTACAACTCAGACCAACTAGCATTTGTTGGTGAGCAATCTATTTGAAAATAACTAGAAAATAAGAAACTATTTGAAATCAATGTGGTCTTTACCCATAATATTCTCTCACTTTTGCACATTCTATCTTTATAAACCAGAATCATACAATGAACATTATTTATCCAAGATTTTGTTTTGTTGCCTTAAGTAAACCTTTTAAATTTAAGACATAAAATCAGGAAATGCATAACTTAAGAGATATATTTAAAATGCAAAACTAAAACAGACTAAAAGAAACCTGCAAGTGGTGAAATCTCGTTTCTCTGAAGGAACCGTGCGGTTTGGAAAATCAGCTATCAGGAATATGGACAGGCTGTTATTGACATATCCACTCAAAGGCTGGTTGCTATTTTGTGAGTAGGCATAGAAGTAAACTAAACGGGGAATGATGTCCGATGTAAATGCAACAATAAAAGCCTGAAGGACAAAGCAAGGAAATAATGAACTGTTAATCTAGTTTTCTAAAGTGTCTGATACATGAAATACATTGTATGCACAGATGACAAAAACAATAAAACCTTTTTTACAAATTTGTAAAAAGGTTAAAAAGGGTGGGGGATGTCTGGGAGAGAAGAATAATAAAGAGTAATGGAGGGGGTGAACAGGATCAAAGTACATTTATATGTACTTTCTGATGTATGGAAATATCAATGAAACCCCTCACTTTGTAAAGTTAATATATGCTAATAAAAATTATTGAAAAATAAAATATTTAAAAATGTCTGATGTGTATTATCTCTCTCCAGTGAGACATATGGATGCAGAATCACTAAAACATTGTTATAAATCATACTAAAATATCTGTCTTTGGTCTAAAACATGAAGCAGCTCACTTATAATGTGGGATTAGTATTCCAAGATTTTGTAGTCACAAAGTGGCTAAGTTGAGCACCCGTGTCCATTGCCAAGGAACATGGTCTCTTCCCGGTGTCTTGCTATTTTCTACTTTTCTGAATGTTTCATAGCACAGTTCTACTACTCTCTATCAAATTCTCTTGACTGGCGCAACTCTACAAGCTAAGACTGTGTGTGTAAGAGTCTGTGTGTGAGTGTATGTACAGGAGGTAGATGGAATGGAAAGGTAGAGATCTTGTGTGGATAATTTCTTAGAGTTTGGTACTGTAATAAATTTCAGAATTGATTCCATGGGGATATTATTTTCCCATCTTTTTCTAAGCTCTGGAATCACATAAATACCTTTTTTTTTTTGTTTTTTTAGATTACATGAGTCAATTTAAAACCAACGTGGCTCTGGCATTTACATTTTTTGTGGTAATTTTTTTTTTTTAAAGCCTTGGCTATTACTTCTTTGGTGACTGGTCCAGTCAGGCTTTCAATTTCTATTACTTATTGAATAAATTTGACTGTTTTTTATTTTTGGGGGGTATGGTACTGGTGTTCGAACTGAGGGCTTCACAGTTGCTAAACAGGTGCTTGAGCCACCACTCCAGCGCTTTTTTTCTGGTTATTTTGAACTTTTTTTTTTGGTGGTACTAGGTTTGTATTCAAGTCCTTATGCTTGATAAGCAGGAGCTCTACCACTTGAGCCACTCCATCACACTTTTCTGATTATTTTGAAGAATAGTGTCTCATTTTTTTTTTCCAGGCTGGCCTGGACGTGTGATCCTCCTATTTTAAGCTTCATGCCATTGATGGGATGACACATGCACACCATGCCCAGCTATTTTTTTTGCTGAGATGGGATCTCACAAACATTTTTGCCTTGGCTGGCTTAGATCTGCCATCCTACCAGTCTCAATATTAACCTCCCAAGTAGCTATGATTACAGGCATGAGCTACCATTGCCTGGCTTAAACTTGACATCTTTTTATTCTTTAAAAAAGTGCCAATTTCAAATATATTTTTTAAAAAAATGGGTGCAAAGTAGTCTGTCATATTTTTTCAGAAGTTGTATTACTTACTGTTTATTTTCTAATTTAATTATTTATGATTATACTTTTCTTTATTCATTGTTACTACTTCCTAATGATTTGTTTTACATTCTTTTCCTTAGTGTCTTAGGTCACATGTGCAACTTATGTTTTGAAGTGTTTTGTTTTTTTTTTATAAATTGGAAGCATTTAACAGCTATGGATTTTTCTGTTTTCACTCATTCTTATAGGTTCTCATTTTAATTACACCCTAATTTCAATTATCTTATATGGAGCTTACTTGGAAGTGAAAATGTTAAGTGGTTAGACATTCTTTTTTTGATTATTTTAATGAAAACATTCATTTGTGCTGGGCGCCAGTGACTCATGCCTGTAATCCTAGCTAGTCAAGAGGCAGAGATCAGGAGGATCATGGTTTGAAGGCACCCCGGGCAAATAGTTCAAGAGACCCTATCTCAAAAACACCCATCACAAAAAAGGACTAGTGGAGTGGCTGAAGGTGAAGGCTCTGAGTTCAAGTCCCAGTACCACAAAAAAAACCTCATTAATTTGTAAAGCATAATTATATGCACTGTAAAATATGCATTTTGGAGAATTCTTATCATTTTTAATTTTTAATTTTTAATCTAATTAGATATTAGATTTAATATCTAATAAGTGTATTCTCTGATTTTTGCATACAAATTTATGTATAATATTTTTAAATTATTTTACTATTTTATAACATTGTTTATTTTCTATCTAAATTGCCACATGCTATAATAGTAGGTCATGACATTTTGATGAGTAATTTCACAGTTTTCCTCATATTTTTAAAAAGTTTGAATGTCACAGATTTCTCTTTATTGCTCAGTAAATACAAACTTAGGATGTTTCATCAGTTTGGACTAGTAACATGATGAAGTCAGTGTAAATAAATATTGAGTTAAGCATCATTCATATTTCTCCATCCCCAAGGAAACAAAATAAAAAGTCACCCCACCGAAACAGGTCTACTTACATTAGTGGCAACAGAAAGGACAGCCATTGCAAAGAGAATGTCTTGCCAAACACCTATGCTATGTGCTTTGGCTGCTACAGGCCTCCTGTACTGAGTAGTAAGTTTCCACGCATCCACTCGGATCTCTACAAGGTTATTTATGAGGGCAAGAAGAGGAGCCAAAGGAAAAGAGGCGACAAATAGTGTGACAAATCCAAACTGGATAACTGTAGAGAGGAAAAGAAACAAACATTAAATCCTTATGTGGAGGGAATGAAGGGAAGGGTAAGCTGGGAAGGACAGCTCAGTTATTTCTTTATTCTTTCTTTTGAAATCTACTTTTTTGAAGAAACAAGCCATTCTTTGCCTTTTGTTATGTGTTCAATATAGGTTTATGCTCATCTAGGCTTATATTTGTATTGGTATTTACATCTGTGTCCTGGTGACTACCTAATGTATGTACTTCTATGACTAATTCATTTTCATGCTTCTCTCTGTGTGTGTGCAAAGAGAATAAAATTTTCAGAAATAAGGTATTTGTTGAGGTCTTGATCGTTTGTATTTTAAAAAATATCTTTCCAAATAAATTTTGCTTGCTCTTCCTTATTGAGACTTAGCTAGCTTCTTGTATCCTTTTTGTTCTTTTTTTTTCTAACAATGATGGAATAAGAGAACCTATGCAACTGATAGCCTGGGCTTTCCACACGAGTGAAGATAAAAATAGTAAGAGATATAGAAATGAATTTATTAAAGGGAGAAAGAAAAATTTTCCAATAGTCCTACATTTTTAAATGAATCTTGGATGTTTTTGGATTTTAGTTTTCTGCATCTGACTGAGTCAGCCTTGCAATAAAGTGAACCAATATGCAAATATATACTGACTCCCTCTTTTCCTGCTTTCTTTACTGAACTAATAGAAAATGAACAGGGAGTATTAGGTAGAAGAAGCACGGATTTTCAAGTTTTAAATTTCAGATCTCTATGTAGAAAACTGTGGCTCCTAAAAATCTAATTAAACTAAGTTTCAGTTCCCTCAAAGACAAAAAAATTGTTAAATAATGACTACTGTGCATAATTTTGTTAAGACTATAGAGATAACGTATGGAAGTTTTGAGAATAAGCCAACGATTAGTTGAGTTTCAATAAACAGCAATTCATTTTGTTATGAAACATATGGATTTCATCTTTAAATTTCAGTGCTAACCTCTGATTCAAGTATACAAAAAATCATCTGAAACATATACAATTATAAAAATACAGACATCATCCCATAAAACCAGGAATACCTAATTTTATAGCCAGCTCTTTGTCTTAAGCTTATCTACTTCAGTCCAGATATCATATCTTTATATATTCTACCAAGGAATCATTTAGTAGTCATATCATTCATTGAATCATGATTTTATGGGCCTGAGAAAAAGTGAAGAAAATTGTCTTTTATAGTTTCTACAGAGAAGCAGAGAAAATCACATGAGTAGAAATATTTGAACAGACTATATAAACAGCTCCCAGATAATCTCTCCTATGAATTCACTATACTTTCTCTGTTTAATCCTTGGGATATTTAAGGCATTTCGTATGTTCAGCTTAGGACTTGCTATATAACTGTTTTAGCCTTTTTTTTCAGTCTGACATAAAGGATATGCACTAAATGCACATTAGACTGTGTAACTGTTTTTCAACTTGTTTTCTCTCTGAATAGTCACTGAAGACAACAAAAAGAAAAATAATGATTTAAAACTATTTAAAGATGGGCATTAAAATGTGATTTGTACTTGATTTGGTTCAATAATATTAATATTCAATTGAGAGAAAAAACATCTCTAAGACCTGTGTTTTGAAACTGAAATTTATTTTGCATTCTGTTTGCTGGAACACAGAAATAGTGAATCATTTTTTCTACCTTTTTTCATCTTATTTTTTCATCCACCATCCAATAACACTAAACATCTATTATGTAAAGGTGGAAAGAAATATTAAGACATAAAAAACTTTCCTTTTATTCAGGCTACTACTGCTTCAGAACAGTGGTTTAAGATTACCTGTTTCTAAGTACTCATAAAATAACCCTAGACTTCCAAAAGTTTCAAGGTCATGATCTTGCTCCCAGCGACTATACAGTTTCTCAGAGTTGGACCGAGATCTTCGGCGTCTCCACCAATTAAAAACCAAGCTGTAGGAAATAATAAAAGTAAGTACATGAAACAGTATTAAAAAGAAAGAGGTCAGAGACCCTGTATGTTAAACCTGAAACACTGCAGAAAAGTAAGTTTCAATAACTTAAGGTAATATAACAAGGAGATACATGATTTCAGCTAAAGTCCAAATCAATGTCTAGTATTCCTTTGACCACACACATGGTGGGCAAGAGTTCTTTATTAGGGTGATTAATAAAACAGGACAACTCTGACTCTTCTCAAGGAAATGCATTTACTCAGAGATAGTTCAATTTAGGAACATATGAAGAAGAAAGTCACTACTAGGACAATTCACTGAACTTTATGCTATCATGACACTCAGAAGGACACTTGAAGAAAAGAGAAATTTATTATAGTAGAAAATGTATATAAAAGGAAATGGAGAGGCTTATCTAAACACATAAAAGTAAGTGCAATAATACTCTATTAACAACTTAAATCCCATACTGTATAAAATACACCATGATGATGCTAGGTAATCTTGAAGAATAAAAAGGTTATGTAAAGTAATAAATCAATGTAATAGATGACATTGAAAAATAAGCATAAACATACAAAATCACCTCAATCAATGCAAAATGTATTTGATATATTTTGAAAACATACTAAATTATACTTAGGACAGAGAAATAGATATAGAAGAATATGATCAAATCTTACCAAAAATGTCCACCAAAATACTAAGCCAAACATCATCCTTAAAACTGAAAAGTGAGAAATAGTCCATATAGAACCAAGGATAAAATAAAAATGAGCATAACTCACTGGAGCTCTGAGCCAGGATAATAAGTATAATAAGAAGAAAGATTATATATTTTTCCATAAAAAGGCAAAAGAATGAGAAATGAAAGTAAAACCTATGGTTAATAAAATAGAAAACCCACACAAAGATAGACCAAAATTACTACAATTACTAATGGGGTTTTATCAATTTATTTCTTTTCTATGTGTCTGAAGCACACAATTAGAAAACATAATTTGAGAAGATACTATTTATAATAATAACTAAAAAGCACCTATAAAGGATTTGACAAAAGATTTATGAGACCTATATGTGAAAGTTTAAAAATCTATATTTGAAGTCATTATGTCCAAAATAAAATTTCATGAATAAGAAGACTAAGTATTATAAACATGTAAATTATTTATATTGAAACAATTAAAATGCAATTTCAATAAGAAACCAAAATATTTTCAAGTGAAACCTGACAGTATATTTCTAAAATGTGTAGAGGAACACAAAGCCCAAAGACAGTCAATATAGTTCTATAGACAAATAACTGGTAAAGTTTGTCTCATGTCAAAATTTATTGTAAACATATATTAATTTTCTGCATACTGATTAAAAAATAAACAAATGCTGTAACACAATGGAGACCTAGAAATAACTTTTCGATAGACATATGGCATAAATGGTATGGTAGATATGGAGGAAAAGAGAAGAGGGAATTTTCAGTAAATGATAAAATAACAATTCATATCTATCTACATGTAATTTGTTTATGTATATGCACATATATATAAGAAGTTGGATTTTGTATATCAAACAAAAGTGTTTCTATATATTAAGAATCTGAAAGTTTAAAAATAACTTTATGATGTATTTAATTTTTTTTAAGAATATGAGAATAGCAGTTTAATCTTGGGAAAAGGAAGGCTTTCTTAAATAAGGCTTTAAAGATGCTAACCTGTAAAAGACTGCTGAAATCTACTCTCCCAATTTGACATCCCTTATCCAAAATGTGTGGAACCTGAAATGGTTCCAAATTTTGGACTATTTATATGCATAACAAGATTTCTTGGAGATGGGATCTGGGATCCAAGTGCAAGCACAAAAGTGGTAATACCATGCTGAATAAAAGCAATGAGGTTGACACTCTTGTCCCGTGTCTGATGGTGGAGGAAATGTTTTCAGTTTTCCAATGTTCAGTATAACACTATCAGACTATTGCACATACTTACTTTTATGGTGAGGTGTGTTCCTTCTATTGCTACTTTCTTCAGGCCTCTTATCATGAAGGGATGTTGAATTTTATTGATTGTTTTTTCTGCTTATATGATTGTATAACTTTTTTCTTGATTCTAGTCATGTGTTATATTGTGGTTATTGATTTGTGTATAATGAACCGTTCTCTCTTTCCTGGTATGAAATCAACATGATCATGGTATATGATCTTTACAGTGTGTGGCTTGTAAGGATTTTATTGAGGAATTTTGAATCTATCTTCATCAAGGTAACTGGTCTATGGTGTGTGCGTGCATGTGTGTGTGCGTGTGTGTGCATGTGTAATCATGGTAATACTGGTTTCATAGAATGAGTTTTAAAACTTTCCTTCCCTTCAGATTTTGTGGAACAGTTTGAGGAGCATTGGTATCAGTTTTTCTTCAAGATCTGATAGAATTCATCAGTGAATAGATTTGGTCCTAGTCTTTTCTTTATTGAGAGATTTATTTTTATAAATGCTGCAATTTAATTGTTTATTATTTATCTTTTTAAGTTTTTAATATCATCTTTAATTTTGGTAGCTCACATGCATCTAAAAATTTATACATTTCTTCTACAAGTTACAATTTATTGTAATATAAGTTTTTAAAATATTCCCTAACGATCATATGGAATTCAGTGGTGTCTTTTGTAACATTCTATCCATCTCTAATTCTATTAATTTGTGTAAGCTTTTTCTTTTAGTTAGTTTGGCTAAGGATTTGTCAATCTTCTTCATTTTTCAGTCAACATAGTTTCATTGTATTTTTTTTTGATTTACATTTACATTTCATTAATTTCAGCTCTGATCTTTATTATTTATTTCTTCTTGTTCTTGTTTTTCTAAGACCTTGACATGCATCCTTAGGTTATATATTTGAGATCTGTCTGGTTTTATTAACTAGGTATTTATAGCTATAAAGTTCCTTCTTAGAATTGCTTATTTCTGTTGTTGTTGACTTCTAATTTTATTCCATTATAATCTGATAAAATAGAAGCATTTCAATGTTCTTGCATTTGTTAAGACTTGCTTTATGTCCTAAATATGATGAATTTCAGAGAAATTTTTATAGCATGCTGAAAAGAATATGTATTCTGCAGCTGTTGGGGTAAAATTCTGCAGATGTCTGTTAAGTCCCTTTGATCTATACTGTCATTTAATTCTGATGTTTCTTTGTTGATTGTTTTTTTTTGGTCTGGATGACTTATGCTTTTTTGAGAGTGGAGTACTGCAGTCACTCATTTTGTCCACTTACTGTGTGGGGGATAACTGTGGTTTTATGTCCAGTAGTTTACGAAATTGTGTGCAACAACATTCAATGTGTATGATTGTAATGATTTTGTCCTCTTGATTGATTATACACTTTAGCAGTGTGAAAAGACATTCTTTGTCTCATCTCACCAAATTTTGGTATCAAACATGCACTGTGAGATGTGGGTATAGCTATACTGGTTGCTTTTGGATTGCATTTTGCTTGGAAAATCTTTTTCCCTTCTTTTCCTTTTAGGCTACGTTTGTCTTTGGGTTTTGTTTTTTTCTTTTCAATCCAATCCACAAATCTGTGCCTTTTAATTGGAGAATTGAGGACATTAACATTATCATCGAAAGGCATGTAGTAATTCCTGTTATTTTGGTTGTTTCTTAATATATGATTTTTCTTTAATACTCATTTGTTTCTCTAGTCATCTAAATTTATTCTTTTGCATATTTCATGATTATGTTCATCTTCCTTTTCTGTGTGAAGGATTCCTTTAGTATCTTCTGCAGTGCTGACCTACGGGTCATGAATTCTTTATTTCTCCTTTGATTTTGAAGGATTTTTGATGAATACAGTAACCTAGGTTGGCAGTTATTTCTTTCAGGGCTTGAAGTATATCACTTTGTAGCCTCCTGGATTTTAGCTTTTCCATGGAGAAATCTGCTGTTCTTCTGATATATTCATCTTTATCAGTGACTTGGCACTTTTCTCTTTTAGCTTTCAATATTCTCTATGTTCTATTCTCTTAATCTTTTAGCTGTGATATGGTTTGGGAGATTCTTCTCTGTTCCTGTCAGTTTGGAATTCTAAAAACCTCCTAGGATGGCCATCTCTTTCCCATGTTTGGGTAAAATGACTTCCATTATTTTATTGGATATGTTTTCAATACATTTAGCTTGTATTTCTTTTCCTTCACCTATTCCCATGATTTGTAAGTTTTGTCTTTTAATGGTATCCTAGAGGTCTTTATGTTATATTTGTACTTTATTTTTTTTATTATTATCTGAACATTCTTATTTGTCTACCTTTTGTCCAAGTCCCAATATCCTGTCTTCAACATGATCCATTGCATTGGAAAAAAGTGAAGACAGTTGCATAAACTAAGAAGAAGTTCATTACTTAGGGTAGGAATGGGAAAAATAATACCAGCAAATAGTATTGGGGAAAAAAATAGAAGAGTAGAGAAATGTAACTATAAAGGAGAATGAGAAGAATAAGGGAAAAGTAGAGAAGATCCAGCTAAAGAAAACAGAAAAAAAAAAAAAACTTGGTAAACAAAAAAACCAAAAACAAAAATAAAGAATAATTTTAGAAACTGGAAAGATGAGAAAAAAGAAGGAATAAAAGAGAGAGAAAACTAATCTAATTCAAGACAGAAAGAGAATAAAAAATGGGGGGGAAGGAGAAAGAAGAGAGAGTAGGAAGAGGGGATTTAAAACTAAATGTTAAGAGCTGGGAGTGGTGATTCATGTCTATAGTACTGGCACTCAGGGAAAAGGCCAGCATGGGCCCTAAGGTAAGAGACTTTCTCAAAAAAGAAAACAGGACAGAATGAAAGTAGACAAAAAATTAGATATTTAAGAGAAGAATAGATAAGAAGGCAATAGAAAGGACATAGAAATGAGAAAACTAAGTTGTATAAAAATAAAATAAATAGAATAAAATCATATGCATGTATGAAAATATCATGAAACTCATTCATGTACATTCTCTAAGGATCTAATCACAAGGG